ACTTCACCCGTTCCACTGTTTCTCCGTTTATCTGCAGAACGCCGGGACATAGTACCAAGAAAGCATTAGGCCTTCGGCTGCGAACTTCTCTTAAGCACTCTGAAGACTAGTTTCGTAAGATGCGACCAAAATTACGTCGTCTGCAAATAGCAAGCTTTATCTCAACATCTACTCAGATGCACATCTAAACTAGACTGCATCTAACTAGCCTATCCGTGTAAAACAAAAATAGGTAACTGGACAAAACCTACCCTTGGCGGAGTGTCAACGTTGAAAAGTAGCGACTTAAACTATTCAGTAAAAATTAAACAAGGCAACAGATTTGAAGTAAAGGTGATTCAAAATTTGAATTAGATTTTCAGTAGAGGTGACTCGAGGGGAGGAAAAGAGAATAAGTGATATTGACTGATAGAGATTTGTAGTATGCCATCACATTTTTTCACTTGAACGTACAAAAGAGGAATTAAAGAAGAGGTGAGAATTGCTGCTCAGCTGTATCTCTATTCACTTGGATTACTTTGACCGGCGGCTAATCAGAAGCGAATCGCGTTGCCGCAACACGCCCGCCAGCCCTCTCGGTTTCGAGCCTTCTCCCTGTAGGTGTGGCCATATCTATACTGCTTTAAATTAATCGACTATTAATTTTGTGACAAGACTTTCTAAAAGTTAGGCAATTCAAGTTTTAACATAGTTGTTTGGCTTCAGCTTCAAAGCAGTTCATTCGAATGTCCTGTAAACTGTGTCGATGTGCCTAAATCTTAGCTCAGCGTCCGCATCATGCAAACGAGGAGACAACTGCAAGTACCCGATGGGTAATGGTTCAATAGGGAGAAGTACTTCCATGTTGACTGCAGTAGCCACCAAAACTTGTCATTTTTTAATCGACCGATCGATTAAGCGTTCATACGTAGCTGAATGATGGTCTCTTAAATATCACGGGCTGTTTGTGAAGAATAGCTAATATACATATATAACCATACGGTTTCATGTGTAAGAAACTTCAAAATTCCTTTCCATACTGGCCTGCACATTTCATAAGTTTCCTGTGTTCGATGATTTTGGGCGCAGTACAAAGGCTAATCTTATAGCACCTTTATAAATAAGGCATCAACGTTTCGATCACACAGTAGTGACCTTTCTCGCGAACAATATTGTATCATCAGCAGTGTAACATTTATTGTTGTTATTTTGTCTTGAAGAAAAAGTCTTTTGCCTCTTGTGTGATCGAAACGTTGGCACTGTTTGATGAAGCTGTTGTAAGGATATGTATGTAACAGCGAAGAAACGAATTATATCACAGAAGGAAATGGAAATATTTGACATTATATATTGCCGGGCAATACAAGGAACAAATATAATCATAATTTTGACTAGTCAACGAGCAAAGCAAAGAATAAGGAGACAACAAAAGGCTGACCACGTAGCACCATAAGGAACGTACAGAAACTGAATAGCATGAAAAGGACTCGTTAAACATAGTCTGGTAGCGCTGTTAGCCGCTTCGAGATTCCTGATAATGCTCGCCTTGGACGGTATGGATGATCTAAAAAGGAGTTCATTCTGCAGAGGTACTGATGAACTGTTATCATATGTGAGGCAGGCACTTTTTTTCAACAGGAGTCGTCAACTTTTCTCTCGTCGAAAGATTCACTGATTTGTTTTCGAACTTATTTTCGAAATACAAACTGAGCTGTGATGTGATATGCTTAGATGGATGGTGAGAAAGTCGTATTCCTCATAGGTGAATCGACATTCTTAGTAAACCCAGATTTCCCTGTTACGTACGAAGTATATTGGCAAGTCGTAACAGTTGCGGATAGGCAAATCTGATAACCACTAATGCTTATGTTAGTGTATGAAAATGCCTATATGAATTTCCAGTTATTAAAGCAAGCATAATTTGTTCATTAAATTGTGTTCAATGACGTGGTGACATTTCTTGAAATGTTTTGGAGCTCAATTTCCGTAGTGTGCAGTTGAGAGTGGCTTGTAATAAACGTTGGCATTGAATGCAATGTGCCATTTTCACGCCTGGCGTAAACTTTTCTTTAATGAATTCATCGTTCCCATCAACGAGGAATTGATCTCATTACGCTTGCATGTCGTTGATGTGCGAATAAAACGACAGCACAGCGTGCAGATATGATCATGCCGTACTATCCGTGACTGGTTTTAGAGTCCTTCCTTGTGCCTTAGTCAACAGAGATCCGATTTTCCTTAATGTCTGAAAGCGACACCGATATTCGTCAACTTCAGGATAATTTTTATGCTTTAAAGATATTTGCGGTACGGAATACAAATTTTTCTGACTGGTATTGAGGTTTTTCATTCTTGTGTCGTGTAGTCCCTACCTTTGTTCTGGTAAAACTCTTGGCATACTAGTGCTTGGCAAATGGTTTTTCTTCAGCTGTTGTCTGTGAACGACCTACTCGGTCCTTAGAGCGCCTAATTATCCCAATCATTTAGTCAAAAAGGCTTTCGGTTTCATAGACAAGTCACACGATTCGAAGCTCATCCTAATTAATTATCGTGAAAGCGGATATCTTTCAGATCACTTGGTTAAATGCATGAAAGACAAGACGAAATCTTCCTGATGATTATCAGTGCCAGTTCGGTCAAACGTCAGGTCGGCGTTAAATAATCTTTTCTTTTATTGCAGTTATGGAACCTGAAGATGCATACGCTTCCAGGTATCCGCTCCCCGAGAGCAGTATCGGTGTGAATTTGAGAAATTATTAATTATTTATTGCAGCAGTTTTTCGCCATGATTCTATTTTTCTGTATTTGTGATGTCACTGTTACTTACATAGCAAAATTTTAGTCAACGATGTTGGACCTGCAACAAACATCTGCCGAGAGCGCTGTTCGCTTTCTCCAGAGTTGGATTTCATTGTTGTGTCATGCTGATCGGTATAACTGGCTAAAAAACGAAACGGTGTTGTCGCTACTTAATAACGCCGTAATGTGCGTCGTCCCTAGCGATGACTGTTTAAAGCGTACCCTGGTGCATTTCATTAAACCTTTAAAGGTAGGCGTCTTAGGGTAGACGCGCACTTGCTTTCATGTCTTATCGTCATTTCAAATTCTTGTAGTTTAGACTTATCTCAAAGAAGCGGGGCAGAAGCGAACGTATTTGTTGACATACAATAAAATGCCAATCCTACTCGATGCGGAACTTATGCGCAAGTTCCCCTGGATCGCTTTCATCTGCGTGAAGACGTGCATTAAGTGTTGTAGGACGATCTATCGCGATTTTCAGATTCTAGCCGGCGAACAACGGGACGCCAGCTTCGACGAGATAATGAAAGTCAGTCAGCGGCTATAGTTCATGCAATAAGTTGTTTTAATACGCTGTCGCGTGTTCAGAATGTCTATTCTCACAGCAATATTTGGTTAACGATCGATGAGTTTCCACTGTTGCTGTGGATTCAGTTTTGTCTGGCAATTGCTGATGATTCACCATTATTCTACTTGGCCTCAATCGAGCTCTCAGAGCAGCTGACGGAAATCGACAACTCTGTGAACAGGTACCTTATAACAAGTGGAGCTTTCTCGTCATAGCTGATGGCATCGGTGATTTTTCAGATCATTAATCCGTGAAGTAGCAAACAAAGCTACTGAGAAAATTGGTGCGTTTGTTAGCAAATTGAGCCAAAAAGTTGTTTCCGCCAAACCCAAAGTCGAACCTGTTGACAGCATGACACAACGGATCATCCCGTATGTGACTTATTTTTGTTCAGTGTGTCTGTTACAGTAGATTTTGAATTATCAATGGCAGCGAAAAGGAGAAGTAGCCGGATAATCCACAAACCATGCTAATTTAAGTGTAGTTTGTTTCAGCGCATGTTACAGGTTACATGTTACAGTATACCGTGTTACTGCTTTCAGGCATGCGAATGTTCAGCGAGGTATCAGTTTGGAGATCATCGT